TGTATGGGTAAATGTACATGAATATTTTAAGATAAAGAGTAGTTATAGGCAAGTCGAATACAAAAAGGGAAATAAACGTGTTTTGTTGGTGATCCATAAATTAATTTTTGTAGTTTGGTTTTTTTCAATATTAAGTTGTATTAGATAGAAATTAATTCAGTATAAAAGATTAAGTATGAAATTTCTCTATATAAAAATATATTGGATATAGATAGTAATGGGAACGTAATCATATTTAATGAGTATTTCGAGTGTTGAAGTGTATTAAGTATAAGATTAAAGATATTAAAAAATATGAGAGCAGATATGTAAATTTATTTGTTCTTCAGTTACAATTGATTAAATAACGAATGAAATAATGAAGGAAAAATAAAATTTTAGGAAATTTGACAACTTTTTTCTTAATGAAGGCATGTAGAGCATAATAAAAAATTTTCTTTGAGTGGCGTTATTATAAATTAAAAGACTTAATATACTGACTAGCACCCCTCAAAAACAAGTAGCTTGTTGTGTAATTACAAAAATTTCCTTTGTATATATCGCTACAAATTGTATACACAATGATGAAGGCTAATTTACGGAATTCTATTTTAGAGGGTTACGTAAAATTTGGCTAATATTTGACAGACATAAGAAGTGAAATTGTCATTAAAATTTTATATCAGATTCCACCTTTAACTTTATTTTATGAAACATTAAAATTTACAAAAGTTTGTGTCAAATGTTGACATTTTAGAAGAAATGGAAACATTTTTAAAAGGTTGTAGAGGAAAATAATCTTTTGTAGGAAATGTGTGCTCGTTATAACCATAAAATACTTTTAACCGGATGATCGAATTTTTACGATATAATAATAATTTCGTAATAATTCGATAATTTTCATGTGAAAAATTTTTAAGAGCCAATATTTTATAATAATCGATTTATGAGAAGTTTGCCATTTAAATTTCTAATAAATTTATTTTAATTGCTTTTCACATTTTAAAACTTCCTGATTTTGGAATAATTTCTAGTATATTTGTTAATTCTTTTAAATATTAATTAATTTCAGTTAGATGAGTGTCTAATACCATTGTAGATTTAACATGCGATTATGATAAATTGAATATTTTTCTACATACTTAAATAGAATATAAATTCTTTAAATATGAAAGTTTTTGCCGATTATAAAAATGGCATATTTTTTTTTTGGAATTTAATAAATTTTTTAAATCTATTATACATACATATATAATATTTCATGTTTAATTTTTAATTCAAAAATCTCGGAGATATCTGATACCAGTTTATTGAAATTCTTGCTTATATATTATTAAGACATTATATTGTAATTCCATATAGAACCGGTTAAAAGCAAAATACTTTATAGGTATGTTTGCCAATAAAATAAGAAATTTAAATATATTATGAAGTTTATCGAATTTTTTTTATTTTATTTAATATTAATTTAATAATTGAAAAAAAAAATAAAAAAAATTTGAAATTTCTTGTAGAATTTTATTTGACTTTATTAAGGTTTGCCTGTCTCTATATACACACAATTGAAAAGGTAATAATGTAAGTTGAAATTTGAATTACTTTCTTGCTTATCGTAGGAATTATTGCAAAACGAACTATGAAAAATATTATTAGTGATTAAGAATTCAGAGTAGTAATTAATGTTTTAATATATTATGTTAATTATTTTGTATATATTATGTTAAAATTTTTGTTAATCGCATTCAAAAAGGCGTAAGAAAACAAAATTTTAATACGTGATATTAAAAATTTTTAACTGGGTTTTGATAGCTTTTTCAATTCCAATTTGTATATTGTTGCAATAATTAAGTTGCGTTTTCAGGCATACGATTTTTTTAGATTGGATTAGGTTAGGTTGACGCGGCTACTGTAAGGTACATGTAGATCAGTAAGGCCCGTTGTGATACCGCTGGAATCATAAAATCCAAAGTCTTGCGAAAATCAGCCCAAGCATTTTAGAAACCGGCTACGGACTCTAATATTTACATTTGCCAGATCCGTAGTCCGCAAAAAGAAAAATTACCTAAGGAATCTCCGCCTCCTTCCCGCCAAAGCCGGACAAAACCAAAGGAGATGGGCCACCATCTCCTCCTCGTCACGGCAGCTCCTGCCAAGATCGTTCGCAGGCCTCTCTATCTTTCTGCCAAATAAAACAGTGACCCGTAATGCTATCTATCACAGACCTAATACCTCTCCTTCGGAGAAACGATTTTTCTACGTTAATTACATATTTATTCTAATGGAAATTCGTCGGGATTCCAAAAACAATTAGTATGACTGAATGAGGATTAATTAGCCCGAGATATCGATCCCTTAAAAAATCTTTATTCAAAATAGTCTTTGTCTTATTGAAGAGTTCTTGCTATTTTAAAATTTATAGCATGATTTTACTTAATATCGAGCTACAATTAAATTATTATTTAAGTTTCGTGACAGCTATTATTACATTGCTGTGTTCTATCACAGTCAAATTAAAAAGATTTCCGTAATTAACCATTGATGAAATGATTAATTCCATAATATTAAATTTGGTGTGTAAACTCCACCCTTCATTTTATGCTAACAGCCAACTCTATATAACAAATTTAATTTAATTTAAACCTTCCAATTTTTAATTATAATTATACACTTCAACGGTTCAATATTGCTGTTAAAATTAATTCCATAATTATAAGCTTTTAACAAGAAATCTAAATTAATTAATAAAATTATTAAATATTTTAAAATCCAATGAGAATTTTTTTTTGATAAATTATCGGTATGCCTTCAAATTTTATACCAAAAAATATGTATAATTCGCACATACTCGTATATATGAAAAAAATCACCTTAAAACTATCCTACCATACATAATATTCCATATTTAATTAATTAATTAACAATTTTAAGTGAAATAAGCGTGAAAAAAAACTTAACCGGCCTGTAATACACTTTACATTAATTAACACGTTTATGGTATATATATATATACCATAAATATGGGATTAATTCTTGTTAACTTGAAATGGGCAAAAAAAAATATTCATAAGTGGCAAAGGTATCAGTAACTTTTAAATAATTATACAATATTTTGTTCAACAATTTAAAATAAAAAAAAAAACATATAAAATAAATCGTTCATTCATACAATGCCAACTTGAAATTAATCAATGCTTTTGGTAATTTGTAGCTCATTTTTCAATACTTTCAAGTTTATATGGTGAATTTTTAAATTTGAAAGGCATTATTTAATTCAAATTGAAATTTTTAAATTATAATGTCAAATTGTACTCAAATCAATTGAAATAATTTGGATTCTGCAGTAGCAATTCAATTTTGGAATAAATTTCGAAATACTTATTTCAAATTTATTTCAAATTTCAAATATCAATTAGTTGTTTATGGTAATTTTCCAAAACGTCAAATTTTTTGACAAATATTTGACATTTGTCAGGCAAAATTTTAAAGCTACTACATATTTTGATTTTTTAAAAACAAGTAAGTATACCTGAATACATAATGACATTGTGTCAAATTAATTTTCTTAATTTTTGAAATCAATATCAAAATCTGACAATTTAAAAAAATTTAAAGCTGCATAATTGTCAAGACTAACTTATTTTATTTAACCAAATTTTTTTTTTGCTATTTTTTTCCAACTTACTTCAAAATTTAGTAAATGGCATACAAGTTATAAGTTTTTGCTTCTTGAATTCAAAGAAAAAATATTAAGTTTATTGATCTTAATACTCGAAAGAGCCAAAGCTTTAATATAAGGTGGAATTAAGTGTTTGAATTTAGAATAAGGTGGGGAAAAAAAGTTAGTAAGTTTTTTAATTGAATTATATTAATTAATAATTTTACGATTAGAATATATAAAATTCTTAAACTTTGTAATTAATCTTCGTTTAATTAAAGAAAAGAAAAGTCGACAATTGCTATTTTCGCAATTTTTCATTATCATTTCTATATCAACATACAAAGATTAGGATTATATTTCTGAGAAACATAAGTAAATAGAAGCATTTATGAGGTAAGATTATATTCTGGAATAATTTCTTTATTAAATCTCACATGAAAACATTTGTATAACAAGGTAAATTCCGCATTTGAAATGGTACAAATTACAAGGTAAATGTATATAATTTTAAAATAACAAAATTAATTGACTTCAATAAAATATATATTAAGTAATTATAGATTGAGATTGTGAATAATTTGCATTAATTGTATATACATTAAGTAAATTAAAAATTCTAACTCTGTTTAATTGAGCTTATAGATTAATATGATAATTTGCAATTTGTATTTATTTAAGGTTGATTTGTAAAAATATTCCAGTAAAAATTAATACAAATTAATTCCAGTTGTATAGTAACAATGCGTGAGTTGAGGACTTTAAAATACGGTTGTATACCATTAAAATGGTTCTGAGTCAAATGAAGAATTCAATAAGTAAATTTCCATGATAACAAATCAAAAAAAGAAATTATTTCATTGCATAACTAGAGGCGTATTTCAAGTTTTATGTTATGCGTGTGCATAATCTCAAATAATAATTTTATATTATAGAGTTGCCATTTATATTATTTTATATTATAGCATATTATTATAAATAAATCGTATATAAATAATGGGTTTTTAGTAACAATCCAGCAATTTCAAATTATTGATATGGCCATATTATGTTAAATGGCAGATCATTCGAAAACACCAAATTTGAATAATAATTTTCAAGAAATTTCCCATACAATTATTTCTAAGCACACAATTTAAAAGCTGTTTGCAGAATACCTTAACGCTTAAACGATTTCGAATTTAAATAATTTATTTTAATTAAAATTTTTAAGATATTATCAGTTTGATTCAAAAATTGGGTTACAGTTCAAAGGATATATAGACGGAATTAATTATATTGACTTGCATTCATCGAATATTTTCGTGTCAAATTTTCTCAATTTCCAATTAATTTTCAAATTTTTTCTTTAATATAAAAAACTTACCAGAATGATTATGTTCTTCAGCTATTGGACAATGTGAATGTTTTCCATTATTTTTTTCGATATCATTATAAATATGATGATGTCCAATTTCTCGCCAAATTTTATGTATTAATTCAGTATCGGTTTTTGTATATTCTTCAATTGGTTCAATAAAAAATGAGCCAAAACTGGTTCGAATGTGCCCGGTCTGTAATAAATAAATAAAGAAACAAAATAAAAAAAATGATTAAAAACAAGAATTGAATATTTAAAATAATCAATAAATTAAAATCATAAATATAAAATTAAATTCAATTTATTTAAAAAAGATGAGGAGAAAAAAAATCATACTAGCATCCAGTGGAATCATAAATTTTCAACAGAATTTTTCGACGATTTTTTCCTCCATTTTTATTATTATTTTATGTGTTTTTAATAAAAATTTGAATTTAATTTTTTTTTTTACTAATTTATTAGCATAATAAACATTTCAATAATTTTAAAATTTATAATTTTTTTATATTCAAAAACAGCAAAAAATTTCGTATGTAAATGTTGGTTAGTCCATATAAGAATTATCACAAATGAAAAAATTTTGGAGAACAATTGGGTCTCTTTGAAAAGATTTAAATGCATTTGAAATATCCTTTGTCCTACTTTATAAGTGAAGTTCCTCGAAGACATTTGAAAATTTCACAGTGACAATTAGCAAATCTGATCATCTGACAATTATACAGTATGGCGTAAAAAGATTTGACTTGGAGTGGAATTAATTTATTTCAATTTAAAATCTTAAAATCCAAAATATTAGTAAGGAAAATTTCTTTATGCAATAGATGAATGTCATAACAAAAGAATTAAAGCATTTATTCTCCTCAAACAGGGCTCGAATCAGTGACCTACCGCTATTTATCAAAATTTTTGAAGCCCTAAGTAGAATCGCCGTAAGTATCGTATACATTGCTTTCAATATTCAATATTTTTTACACTTGACCATAGTTTGTTAATGTATTTTCAATTTACAAATATGTGCAAAGAATATAAAACAATTTCAGAGTATTGAGGTGGTTATTTGGTTGGCAATATAGCATGGGCTCTCAATATTTATTCCCTTAATCTAATTTCCATACATTTTTCTTAAATCTTTTAATTGTACCTTTAACTGTTCACAGGACAATGAATAAATACTTTATACTGTTAAGACATAATCATTCATGACAATGAAAATTTAAAAAAAAAACTGCAAATTTCACATCAAATATTTCGATTCATCGATACAACACTGTATCGAATCCGATATATAGGAATGGATAAGGCTAATTAATAAGATTCTATTCTTAATGCCTATTCAATAATAAGGAACTAATTTGGTAACTCGGTCAAACAACACTATTATGACACCATATAAAACTCATACTTAAAATTAGATTCCATTAATTAATTTTGTTTTTTGTTTTTTTTTGTTGCTCTTACATAAATTTAGTGTACGAGTAGTAAAAAAAAATTATGACAAAATCTACAAATTTAAATATTAAAAAAGAAAAAGTAAAAGAAAAATTTTTCATTTCTAAATTTTTACTTTTTATTTTTTTAATGTTAAATGCTTTTTAAAATTCATAAATTTTGTGCAAAAACTTAAAAAAAAAAAATTTATAATCATAAATGAATAATCGTAAAAATTAATGAACGGACGAGCTCTCTCTCTCTCTCCTCCAGTTGTAAAATTAATTTCTTGCAAAAATGAGAAAATTATTGCCATGCTTTTAAGAAAAATTAAAAATATTTTAATTTAACTATGAAATTGAAATTAATTTTTTTTTTTAATTAAAAATGCAGTTCAAATTTAATTTCGTTTTTGACTTTGTTTTCATTCAACGTGCATATCTTTTGGGATTAATGACAACATGAAATTTCTAAATGCAAAATAATAGTCTAATTGTGTATCTCGCTTTTTTACTCATTCCTTATTCACTTTTAAATCAAAATTCTCAATATTTTCTAATTGGCATTTAATTTTTCCAAAAAGATTACTCAACTTTCCAAACCTCTCACTTTCAAAAACGAAGTGAATAGATTTCGTATACATTTTAGAAAAAACGAAATACGCAATACCAAATAATTCTTCTAACTCGAAAATTACATTATATAATTTTATATAGTAGTTACTCACTTTCTTCTCACTTACTAAGTAAAATAGCGAGATAGACGATTAGGCCCTAAAATTTTCCTAAAATATTCCTTCATAAGAATTAAAAGAAAATTTATTCGTCTCTTACCAAAAGTTTTTTGCTTCTCGAAATTTTTCACAAATTCGAATAGAAACTAGGTTAGTATTGTCAATTTTAAGATGGAAGTGCTTTTCTGCCTTTTTGGATTGCTGAAAAATTTGTAAATTCGGGGTTTTTATCAGCCCAAAGTATAGTTAACAGAATGAGGGTTCGATTTAAAACTTCACTCTCCTTACATTTTTACAAAATTTAAAAAGAAAAGTGTTTTATTATAGTTTTATGCTATTCATACGTCCGATCAAGTCGTCTTTACTGAGGTAGTTTTATAGACATCATCCTTTCGAAAAACTTATTTTCTAATAAAAAAATAATTAACAGCTTTGGAGTAAGTTTGTAAATGGAGTAGCTTGAACACGTACAAAAGGAATGGATCTATCAGTATAAACTTGTGTAATTAATGTCCTGTACCATTAGATTGTTATACATCCTTAAGCGAGGCGTAAAAACTAAAAAATAAATTGTGAATACAAAAATGAAATCAAAAAATTTTGAATTATTTCTTTAAAAATTCCAACTTGAACAAAATTTTAAAAAATAATGCAAAACAAGCTATCATTATAATTCTGAGGATATGAACCTTAATTAAAACTGGATAAAATTAAAACTCCAACTTTAAAAATTTTAATGTTGCTCTCTGGTGTGGTGCAAAGCTATTCTGAACAGATTAATGAACTGACATTATAGCAATGTCATTTTGCATTTTAAAGTATATTCAAGACAATGAGCACACCATAAAAATGAAAATTTATCATCTAATTTAAAACGATAACACTTTTAATTTCGTAAAATTGTCTTGCAAATTAAACCGCGTCTTTTGTTTAATTTTATTATTAATTTCAATAATTTTCATTATCAAATTTTCAATAAATTTTTTTTTTTTAAAACATTTTAATTTTTAATTAAGTTTTTGAATTTTTTTTTTGCAGAACGTTTATATTTTATTACGATAAAATTTTATTACAATTTCAATTCTTTATCCTTCAAATGACGGTCATCTGTGTTTTCAAAATCGGACAATTGCATTTGTAATCGATTGCAATAAAGAAAAGCTGTTCTTCCGAGTGGATTGTGTCTTGTTTTTTCTTAATATTTCTGATATTTTTTTTTTAAATTTTTATCATAAATCTTTGCTTTTATATAATTTTATTACTTTTAATTATGATTATAGAATTAGAAATTCAATAACTTGATCTGATGGCGTAGCTGTTTTTTTTTTGTTTTTTCCAATTAAGACATAAATTTTATTGAGCGTTTTTATTGTATGGCCTTTGTTTGTGTTTCCATTTTGAATTTGTCATAATATGCGTATAATTTTATTAATTTCGATTCATTTATTAAATGATTCAATTATAAAATTGCGATCGTTATCAAAAATAGTCACCATTGATTTCATAATTTTATTAATATACATATATAATAACGTAGGTGGGTTTTTATTAATTTCCTGTATATTTAAAATTAAATATTTCAATCCTTATTCGTATGGCTTTTAAATAAAACAAATTAATTTTAAAATAGAGATAAAGCAAAAAAAAAATTGTTTTACTTCTGTTTGTACAATTATTAAAATTTTATATAAAATAAAGTGACCGTATAGAAATTATCTTTTCTCATTTCCTAAAATTAAAATAAAATAAAATTTAATTTAATAAATCTATAGATTTCCTGGAAAAATATTAACTTTTCTAAAATGAACAAAAGAAATAAATATTTGTATGAAAAGACAAAGGTGAATAATATAAAAAAATTTTGCGATTGAATAATGTGCAAGATATTGGCAAGATGTGGCAAAATACTGAAACATAAAATTAGTGAAAAACGATAACAACTTTGTGATAACCTTATTAATGGATGAAAAATTTCAGCATTTACTTTTGAAATTGTACGGCGGTTACCACCGCAAGCTAAGAAATTTCAACTAGTTTTATCAAATATAAGGGTCCTTATAAAATACTTGCTTATGCGATATTTCAATATTGTATGCTGTATAATTTAAATAGATTTCCGATATTTACTATCAGAAACCATTTGTGAAAATTTGGGCGACTTAGTCCAATTCGCTTTTGAATTATCGCTCGGACGGACAGACATATAGGCGGACAGACATGCTAAAATCGATTTAAAATTTGACTTTGATCAAAAGCACACTTATTCTTATATCTCAGACTATTACTACTTAGCTTTACAAAATGTAAGGCAAATTTATAATACCCTTTGAATTCTGCATAATACAAAAATTAATTATTTGTGACCATTATAAAAAATTTTAATGTCAATTTTTACAATTGCAGAGCTTATATTTCTTGTAATTATAGCAGCTATCGAAGATACGATAATTTGATATCGAAGTAATGTAAAATAAATTTTTAAGCACATACATATGTACATACATGTATTATATATGTTCGATTTATACTTTTCCCTTAAAGCTATAACCCACTTATTGCATATTCTTAATATTCGAGATAATATGGTTGTTTACGCCAACTAAAATATAGTTAAATTGAAACAAATTTTGGCACCCTGATCACCTCAACCAAAATAGTTATACCTGTTTCGAAGTCTATACATTGTAAATTATTCAAAATTATTGTGAATTCCCCACGCACAATACTCAATTTTTTTTGTGTGAAATATGCTAAATTGAAAAAAAGGTGTTAAAAAGAGTGCTTCTTCAAACTTGAGAAACAAAAAACTTATTTGCTGAATTTGCATTTTATAAACTTTTGTTTTTTTTTTTTGTTTTACGAATTTTGAATGAAGTAGCAATAAAATTTTTAGTAAAACAATTTGTTGTACAACCAATTACATATGTTTATATTTTTACTGACAAATATACAAGTTTATTTGTATGTGATTAAAATTATGTGTAAAATATACAAATAATATTTTTCGGGATTGCAATTTTTTATAAAAATTG